AATTACCATCACCAATAATATTTACAATTTTTGTTGGCTCTCCAAGAATTTTTCCACGGTATTTATAAATCAAACTCTTTTCTATTTTAAGATTTAAAATCTTGTTCTGTCTCAACTGCCATGGCTTCGTCACGGGATTAAATACTTGTTTATCCTTCAACTCATCCAGTTTTGTATTGGTATATTCAATATCCTTCACGTCTTGCAAATTATCGACATCTTTAAAACTGTCAGTGCCGCTACTTTTGTTTCCAGACTTGTTTGCATCATATTTTTCTTCCGTTTTATTTTCCATTGTACATTTTTAAATTTTTCAAATGAATTTTTTTTTTCAAGACTTTGAACTCATTTTTGAGTACACATGTATTGCCAGAGTGAATAGATACTATTTCATATGGACCATTCCACGGTATCTGACGCCAACCACCTTTCCGATCATCCCTACACAAGTTTCTGACGAAAACTTTATCACCTTCTTGAAATATGTGACCCGTATTATGACGTTTAGAATAAGAATAACGTTGACGTGTTTGTGCTTCATCTATATTTTTTTTCGCTTTAACTTCCATTATATTCCTCATGGCGATCATTTGATTTAGTGTAGTTTTAAATGTTTCTTGATCAAATAAATCTAAATCATTATCTTGATGATCTGAGTCATACTGATTACTAGGGCCCGGATTTTTATGCAAAAATATTTGTTAAATATGCACATATATATGCACTCAAAAATTCAAAAATATGCAAATAATATGCAAAAAAATGTATTGTTTAAAAATACAAAAATTAAAAATATACCTAGTATTAAGTGAACAAAAATACAATTTAAATATAATTTTTTAAAATGTTTATAAAGCATAAAAATGTGTATTAATTATTGAAAGAATACCAATATGATGTAACAAAATGTGCTTTTAAATTATCAAATTGAAAAATTAATAATAAGTTGTAAAATAATGTAACAAAAGTAATAATAGGTTGTGGGGGTAAACTTAAGTTTGGACATTCTTCTTTAAAAGTACCTACACGACTAGGTGCTTTTAAAAAAACTTTTTTTGTGTTAGATATCAACAAATCAACATTTGAGAATTCATCCCTAATAGCTTCTGATAATCTATGAAGCCCATGGGCCATACAAGTAATATGGATAAAATACCATAAATACCATAAATTTAGGATAAAATACCTTAAGCGCATGTCCAGATTTTACCATATAAGGAGCGGCGTCTGTGACATACAATAACACTTTGTCATGCAATACTTTTTCAGGCCATAATATATACTCATTGAATCATTGAATAATTTAATATAATGAATTATATTTGTCAGGAACGTCGGCGATCATGCAAAATCGGCATATATATCAAACTTTGAGTAAAATTTAAAATATTTTATCAAGTATTTATTAAATATGCACATTTTATGTAATTACCCCGAAATATGCAATTATTATGCATTTTGATGCAAATATGCAAAAATATGCAAAATAAAAAATTAACAGTAGAATCTACGTTTTACGAAACGTCAAGATATTTAATCAGAATTATTATACGTCAAATGTAGAAGAATATGCATTTGCATAAAAATCCGGGCCCTACTGATAACATAAAGAAAAAATACTATACCTACCTACCTAGTTACGTATTCAATTCTCACTACAAAACAAAAAACAATTTATACAGAGTTTCTATTGATTTAAAATGAACGAGTGCCTAGTTCTAACGATTTAATTAGTTTACATTATATATAGTTTTTTTAATATGTATGTATGATACTATTGATACTTATATATTATTTATATAAGTATATTATATTATAATATTATTATATTTATTAATATTTTTATTATTGCTTATTATTTCACGATTTTGATTGCATATTTTCATCTTTTGGTGTATATTTTGGTGATTCTTTGTTTTTTTTAGGCATTTTAGAAATAATAAGTAATTACTATTGGAATATACGACTATTATAGAAAAAAAAATATTTTATTTTTATATTCCCTTATTGTTAATATAATATAAAAATATACCTAGTATTAAGTGAACAAAAATACAATTTAAATATAATTTTTTAAAATGTTTATAAAGCATAAAAATTTGTATTAATTATTGAAAGAATACCAATATGATGTAACAAAATGTGCTTTTAAATTATCAAATTGAAAAATTAATAATAAGTTGTAAAATAATGTAACAAAAGTAATAATAGGTTGTGGGGGTAAACTTAAGTTTGGACATTCTTCTTTAAAAGTACCTACACGACTAGGTGCTTTTAAAAAAACTTTTTTTGTGTTAGATATCAACAAATCAACATTTGAGAATTCATCCCTAATAGCTTCTGATAATCTATGAAGCCCATGGGCCATACAAGTAATATGGATAAAATACCATAAATACCATAAATTTAGGATAAAATACCTTAAGCGCATGTCCAGATTTTACCATATAAGGAGCGGCGTCTGTGACATACAATAACACTTTGTCATGCAATACTTTTTCAGGCCATAATATATACTCATTGAATCATTGAATAATTTAATATAATGAATTATATTTGTCAGGAACGTCGGCGATCATGCAAAATCGGCATATATATCAAACTTTGAGTAAAATTTAAAATATTTTATCAAGTATTTATTAAATATGCACATTTTATGTAATTACCCCGAAATATGCAATTATTATGCATTTTGATGCAAATATGCAAAAATATGCAAAATAAAAAATTAACAGTAGAATCTACGTTTTACGAAACGTCAAGATATTTAATCAGAATTATTATACGTCAAATGTAGAAGAATATGCATTTGCATAAAAATCCGGGCCCTACTGATAACATAAAGAAAAAATACTATACCTACCTACCTAGTTACGTATTCAATTCTCACTACAAAACAAAAAACAATTTATACAGAGTTTCTATTGATTTAAAATGAACGAGTGCCTAGTTCTAACGATTTAATTAGTTTACATTATATATAGTTTTTTTAATATGTATGTATGATACTATTGATACTTATATATTATTTATATAAGTATATTATATTATAATATTATTATATTTATTAATATTTTTATTATTGCTTATTATTTCACGATTTTGATTGCATATTTTCATCTTTTGGTGTATATTTTGGTGATTCTTTGTTTTTTTTAGGCATTTTAGAAATAATAAGTAATTACTATTGGAATATACGACTATTATAGAAAAAAAAATATTTTATTTTTATATTCCCTTATTGTTAATATTAAAATAAATGAATATGTTTACTCGTAGGTATAAATGATTTAACCCAAATATATTTGGGAATTAATTTTTTTCTTATAGATTAAAACTACCAACAAGACAGAGATATTTTTAAGAACAGTATTTATATAGTATCTAGTGTTCCATAATCTTAAATTTATCATTTTAATTACATTTTCAGAAAATAAATGTCTATTTTGATAATTTTTGAGTGCATATTCATTTTTTTCCTACAATATATTTAAACATTTTAGTGCACAAATTATATATTTTTGCATTTTAAAGATTTTTTAGTGCATATTTGTTCGGGTTTTAATGCATACAAATCCACGCACTATAGTAATATGGTATAATTGCCTTATTATAACCTTGAGGGTTAGTAGTTAGTACAGTATATTAAATGATACAAGATTGTGTACTGTGCAAGGTACGACTGACTGTGGCCGGTAACTATGGCCGTGCGCAGACCCTGGTTTCAGGGGCAGCAAGAGATTATATTCGGCCCATTCTCTAATTCACCTTTAAAACCAGCCCATCATTTTCCTTTTTTTTTACTATAGCTAGGGTAACAACATTTGAATTGTATTAGTTATTATAACTGTGGTAATATAATTTTACCGGGACCAATATGGGTAATATTAAATTTATGACGGCCGTGGTGACCCCCAAAAAAGTTTTGTGGCAGCATACGGTATGGGGGAACTTAACAACAGTTGCAGTTCTTAAGAATAGAAAAGTCCCAACGAAGTACAGATAATAATTATTTACAGATCATTCGAGAATGATAGAGAATAGGAAATAATATATATTATATATAATAATAATTAAATTAATATATGCCACTTTCATGAGAAGACGGACAATATGATTAGGTACCTCTAAATTATACACGCGGGAGCAGTGGTGGACTTATCCTAAAACGGAGAGGTCAAAGGAGCCATACCTAACCCTTAAAATTCGTCTTTATGAGGGGGTTATCAAATAGTACCCAATCATTATAGCAATGCTGCTCCCCCTCTAAGTTCTGTTTTATAATTTTAGCTTAAAATATAATATATAAGAGTATGTAAAATTACATTATATTAATATATTTATATACGTAAAAAAAACCAAATATTTTCTATGAATTGTTTTGAAAATGTTTTGATCATATTTGGGTTTAAATATCTGATTTCCAAACATTTTCAAAACATAGGATGAAAAATTGACATATCATATTTGGTATGAATTGTTTTGAAAATGTTTTGATCATATATGGGGTTTATTTGATTTTCAAATATTTACAAAACATACGATGGAAAATTGATATATAATATTTGCTATACAATGTTTTGAAAATGTTTTGATTATATTTGAATTTAAATATTTAAAGATCAAATATTTTCAAAATAATTTAACAATATTCTAAAAACAATATTTACAATGAAACCTAATTCAAATATATTGAAAATATTATTATTTTCAAAATGTTGTGTGGGAAGACATTTTAATTATAACTTTTTTAAAAGAAATTAATTTTTAATTAATTTCCTTATCAAGAATATTTATAAGGTTTTTACTTTTTGTTTTTAATAGCAATATACTTTTATGTATCCAATTCAAACATTATTAGTTGTATGATTAAATTTGTTTAAATGTTCCAATAAATAAATAAAATAAAACAATTTTAATAAGCATAGGTACACTTCTTATTCACTTAACTCATGTATGTAAGTAGTAGGTACCTAACCTATATAACTAAAATATAAAAAATGTTTCAGTCTGTTCCTATACTATTTGCACTTATGCAAAAAAAAACAAAAATGGCGTATAATTTGATTATTGAGAATTTAAAATCGTTGGCACCAACATTAAAGCCAACCAGTATTATAACTGATTTCGAGTCGGCTCTCCGAGACTCTTTAGTGGACAACTTTCCAGAGGCTATTTCCCACGGATGTTGGTTCCACCACAACCAGGTTTGTTGGTTTATACAACTTATATTAAACATTATCTATTATTCTATAATTGATTATAACTATTATATTGTTACAAAATAAAATAACAGATTAATTAATTGTAAATTATTTATTGACTTGATATTCTTATTTTATTTTTATTTAATATTGTTTTTATTTTTATAGAATTTCAATTAATAATTTTTAAATACAACATTGTGATCTTTTGTTGGTTTCTAGGCTTTATGGAAAAAAGTTGTTAAACTTGGGTTTCTACAGCTGGCCAATACAAATGACATTGCATTGAAAATTATTAGAATGCTGATGTCCCTTCCTTTATTGCCTGCAAGATATATGCAGTTAGGTTTTGAAGAGCTACATCAGTATTCAAGGGAAGAAAATATAAATTTGGAAACACTCTTCTCCTACTATGAAACGTAAAATTACATTATGAAAAATATTTGTTACACAATATTATTATATTTTTTATATATACCTACTTATGCAATTGTATTTAATAATTTATATTCTACTATTTAGGTTTTGGCTAAATAGGATGGGCTCACAATTTGTTTCAGTTCACAATTGTCCTCGGCGAACAAACAATAACGTGGAGTCTTTTCACAATAAACTACGTTTAAAATGTTGTTCACCACATCCAAATCTATGGGTTTTTATTGGTAAATTATTGGCATAATGTTATAACTTATAATTGACTGTGTTTAAATTTTTTTTTTTAATTTATAGAAAAGCTATGTCATATGAGTAGAGAGTACCATATTATGATTGGCCAAATTAATATTGGAGAAAGACCTACTCGATCACTCTCAATAAAATATTTAGCTAACAGCAAACGTATACGTGATTCTACAGTTGAATATGACCTAGAGTTGATCACTATTAGGGATTTCTTACACAGAGTGTCATATTCAATGGAATCATACATGAACTGTCAGAGACACTGGATAGCAAATGTCGAAAACGAAATTGGAGAAAAAGTTGTAAATCAGAATCATAAGTTTGAGAAAATTAAAAAGTATTTAATGTAAAGTGTAGTACTTATCAACTCGATTATCTGATGCATAATATTTCTATTAAATCAGTTTAAGAATTTCTAAAATTTAGAGCAATAATGATTGATTTCTGGATATGATGACTTATGGAGTATAAAAACCTGCCTTTAAAAAATTGCATAATAACAATTAATGAAGAGTGCTTATTATATTATATAATGGAAGAGTTATAATTTTTATTGACAAATTGTAATTTCAGAAAAAATATTTAAAATTTAATAAAAACATTATTTTAGTAAAAAACTTTAAATTAAAACGTATACCCATAACCTATAATTTCTACAATTCTACTTACTATCATAGATTAGGCTCTCTTAATTAATTATTATTAAAAATCATTTTTCATGTCATGACTAATTGTTATAATAATCTATTTACCCACTACTTATGAATTTGGAAAGACAAAACCTGAATTTATTTTGTCGCATGTATGTTAAACCAAGTTACCTACCTTCCTATCAATCAAATTAATTTAATATATACTATAATGTTGGCACTTTCCAGATGACATGATAATTGAAGAAAATAATGATGAAGCACAAAATATTGAAGAAATCCCTATAGAAAGAGGTAAAATAAAAATTCTATATAGGTAATATTATTGCTAGGTAATTAATTTAGTTATCAGTAGGTAAGACACTTCTGGCAAAATCAAATATATGCCTTGTCTCTCTTTTCAGTCTAATCTAATGAAGTAAAATTGAATTTCCATCATGACTTACCCAAATATTATATTGTAAGTCATTTATCTCTTGTCAAATTGTCTTATTTAAAATCTTAAAATATTTTTACTTCTTATTTTATGCAAAATGCAAATAGACATTAATAACTTCATATTTTATTCTTAGTTCTATATTAACCATACATAATGTTGTTATTTACCACTATAATATGTTAATAATTTAATAATTAATAATAAATATATTTAATAATTTACCTGTAATATTTTGTTACACTACCTACCTATTTAATTACCTACCTATATACTGTTTTTAATATGATATACCTGTTATAACTGTTATATATTGTTTATAAAATAAAAGTAGTTACTGATGATTTTAGTTACCTATATAATATTAAACCCAAAAAATATGGTTGAAAAAGAAAGATAAAATGCAATAGAATTACTTATCTTTATTTTTTCTTCTAGACAATGAGGAAGTTACTCCTGTATACAACGAGGACGATTTTATCACCCCAGAAGACAGGGACCCAGATATGATATTTATGGTGGAACTCGATGCTAGGAGCCGGCAATTAGAATTGGAAAATATTCCATTCGCTGAAGTTCCAGCTGTTTTCCCTCTTTGGAAAACGATGGCGAAATATGTGTGGTATGCAGGGTAGAAGAGAGAACGCATGCTTTAATACCATGTGGGCACAAAGTATTATGCGAAGAGTGTGTGTATCTGTTAGAGCCTAAACGCTGTCCTATATGCAATGTTGACTTTACAACATCCATCAGGATTTGGTAAAATATGTAATAAAAACTATTCAATAAATTAAATTATATAATTATGAGTTTATATTTTATGACGTAACCTAAATCTTAACTGAAGTCACAAATAGGATTGTTATTATGTAGATACTAGTTGGTCAAAGGTTTAGGTATCTACTTTTTAAATTTATTTTGATTCAGACATCCAGTTCTTTATGCACTTCATTATGTATGATATAGGGAAATAAGTTATGATATTCATCATCTGTTTGCATTTTACCAATTTGGCATCAACAGGCAATTAAGAAATCCTATATATTGTTCAGTTTTACTTATTAAATAAATTATATAAGAGTATTATAGTATTAACCCTAATTAAATTTGATTATACTATTGATTAGTGGTTAATATTTATATTGGTAATTACTAGGGCACGGATGATGTTGCATTTGCAACTTTTTTTCTACTTTTTCAATTAATTGCTAAGTAAGTTTTAAATACGTTTCATGTAAGTACGAATTCAAATCTAAAAGTTTTAAGTGCAATTTTTTGCAATTTTTGGGATTTTTTCAATTTTATTGCAATTTTGTCGAATTTTTCTCATTTATACAACTATTTTAGCAACATTAAAACTTATATATGACTTAAAACCATTATTAAAATCAATGACATACTAACTGGACAAAGAAAATCGTTCGATGGTTTACCCGAAGACTTAACAGTAAGCGATTTATCTTATTTTAAATACGCTCCGCTTACATCAACCGACGTAGAATGAAGTTTTTCGAGATATAAGAACTTACTAGCTCCAAATCGAAGAGGGTTTGATTTCGAAAATTTAAAACAAACACTTATAGTACAGTGCAATGATGTATAATATAATAAATTTATAATGGCATGATTATAATGTAATGTATATATTTTTTTTTTGAATTATTTAGAATTTTAGATTATAATTTATAACAGTAAACTTAAAACATTTATAACAAAACGTTGTTATTTTTTAGTGCAATTTTTAATATTTTTAGTGCAATTTTTGGTATTTTTTAGTGCAATACTGCAATCAATTTTACTATTTTTTTGGTACTACAACATCCGTGCCCTAGTAATTACATTTAAATTTATATTTTATAGCCTTAGGGCCGGTGTAACAGGCGATTATTACCCCCCTATATTATTACCGTGGGGGGGGGGGGGGTAATAGTCGCCTGAGGTAAAAATCGACTACAGTAGCAGGCGATTATTACCCCCCTTCAATATTATTACCGGGGGGGTAATAATCGCTGAGGTAATAATCGCCTACAGTAGCAGGCGATTATTAAACCCCTTCAATACTATTACCGTGGGGTATTAATCACCTGAGGTAAAAATCGCCTACAGTAGCAGGCGATTATTACCCCCCTTCAATATTATTACCGGGGGGGTATTAATCACCTGAGGTACCTAATAATCGCCTACAGTTACAGGTGATATATAATATTTACCGTGGGGGGTACTAATCGCCTGTAAAAAAAAAGTTTCTTGCTTAAAATATGAAATAAAAAGTAAATTGTAAACGGCAAATATTAGTTGCAAATAGTTAACAAGCCAAAGATTACCTACCTATATAATTGATTTTTTTTTCGTTGAACAATTATTTTTTTAAATAAAAAATAAATATTTATTTTGTAGGTAGTATTTTTAAATTGAAAATTAAAAATGTTAATTAAAAATTGTTTGTTGAAAGTATTGCAGGAGAATGTAATGCAATGGCCATATATTTTACAAGGTGTCTTATTTGCACATAGAACGGCACAGCATTCTTCCACTGGATACACGCCACGTTATATACTACGCTACCTATTGATATTAATTATGACCATAAAGACACAAATTCTGTAACAACCAATAGTAATCAGTAGGGCCCGGATTTTTATGCAAATGCATATTCTTCTACATTTGACGTATAATAATTCTGATTAAATATCTTGACGTTTCGTAAAACGTAGATTCTACTGTTAATTTTTTATTTTGCATATTTTTGCATATTTGCATCAAAATGCATAATAATTGCATATTTCGGGGTAATTACATAAAATGTGCATATTTAATAAATACTTGATAAAATATTTTAAATTTTACTCAAAGTTTGATATATATGCCGATTTTGCATGATCGCCGACGTTCCTGACAAATATAATTCATTATATTAAATTATTCAATGATTCAATGAGTATATATTATGGCCTGAAAAAGTATTGCATGACAAAGTGTTATTGTATGTCACAGACGCCGCTCCTTATATGGTAAAATCTGGACATGCGCTTAAGGTATTTTATCCTAAATTTATGGTATTTATGGTATTTTATCCATATTACTTGTATGGCCCATGGGCTTCATAGTTTATCAGAAGCTATTAGGGATGAATTCTCAAATGTTGATTTGTTGATATCTAACACAAAAAAAGTTTTTTTAAAAGCACCTAGTCGTGTAGGTACTTTTAAAGAAGAATGTCCAAACTTAAGTTTACCCCCACAACCTATTATTACTTTTGTTACATTATTTTACAACTTATTATTAATTTTTCAATTTGATAATTTAAAAGCACATTTTGTTACATCATATTGGTATTCTTTCAATAATTAATACAAATTTTTATGCTTTATAAACATTTTAAAAAATTATATTTAAATTGTATTTTTGTTCACTTAATACTAGGTATATTTTTAATTTTTGTATTTTTAAACAATACATTTTTTTGCATATTATTTGCATATTTTTGAATTTTTGAGTGCATATATATGTGCATATTTAACAAATATTTTTGCATAAAAATCCGGGCCCTAGTTATCAGGCATTCTATTTACTATTTATACCTACTTTTGGTAATATATTACTTTAAACAATATCAACAAGATCAAATTTTGACTCAAAAAAATATCTCGTCAAGATCTTTTGTTCAAAAAATCGACAAAAAGAAAATTACCCGTACATTTTTTTTTTTTGTTGAAATATTCAAATTTAGTAAACACCATATTTTATTAACTGAGTTTCAACATCATAGGAAATAAGAATGATAAGTTTTTACAAATTTTAGTTGATGTCTCTTTAAGGGAAAAAAAAATGTAATTATGCTACTATAAGATGTTTTATACTTCAACATAGTAGAATGCATATTTCATAGTACCTACATACTTATTTGGTACCCGAATTAGTTGTATTCTGCATACACAATTTTTTTGTAACAGTGTTAAACATAATAAACTATTGTCTCAAATTCTGAATATCAATTTAACAATGTAATAGTAGGAATATTGATTAATTTTAATTAAATTATTAGATTTAATCTTTCCAAACATCAATAACATAGAACTCTTAGTTTAAAATTATACACTACTCACTATAGTGTTATCCAATGTCCAGGGAACTGTATAAGTAACTAAGTAAGAATAGGTATTTAAACTATAATTATTATTTATTATGTACCTATTGGCTATTATACTATAATTTATTTGCATGATAGTCCTGGGGCCCACCCCTTCCCCGTATGGGCATAAGC